TTCAACCTAAATATTCAGATGTGTGCAGCACATTTTATGGAGGACTGTTTCCTGATCCTGGGAGAGTAGACTACAATGCCTGCTGTTCTGACTCACAGACTGTAAGTACGTTTTTTATATTTAATTAGTTTTTATATTTTATATATTTAAAGCATGTTTTTTGGGCAGTGTAGAGTAGGGTTTGTTGTTTGTCATTTCTCCGATCACAAATGCTGACATGGTTTTATGTTTACGCGGCGCTATACGCAACGCATAAAAAGACAGTATAATACGTAGTTATGTCCCCACTGGATGCAACAAATGCCTCGTTTGTAATGGGTTTTATTGGTCGCTCCGGCCGGACACGGCATCAACAGTATGTGAGGGGCGTAACATTTCCGTCACATGCTTGAGGTATTCGGCCAATCACAACGCTCTGGATAGCTGGCCAATCAGAGCACACCTCGTTTTTCAGACCGATGAGTTTTGTAAAAATCGACGCGTTTCAGAAAGGCGGGGCATAGAGGAGAAACAATAATGTACAGTATGTGGAAAATAATGTGTTTTTTTAACCTTAAACCGCATAAACACATTTCATTACACCAAATACACAAAATAATGTTCTTTTTAGCAACATCATATGACCCCTTTAAATTATCCTAATAAACTGTTTCCATTTCTTATAGCCATTTTTTTTAATGTCCCTGAGATAATTATACTTAACAAAGAGCATGTGGTTATTAGCATGACATCCGCTTGTCCAAATCCACAGATGTAAACATGCTAAAAAGATCTCAGATTTGCATGGAAGCGCTGATGGTAGTCTAAATAATGGATCAGGATACACACTGGGGTGTGATTCATTATATTTACACAACCCAACAGCACAAATAGGCACTGTCACCTGAAACTGAAAAACCGAGATGAAAAGAAAACTTAATTTAACTGTAGATTTCGATCAGGTAGCTGCCAGACTCAATTTTCCAGATAATTTTGTGCTTTGGAAAGATAACAAATGTGTTCTTTTTTCCAGAAAATACGTTCTCGGACAAGGCTTAATACCCTCTCTCTCTTTGTGAATTCAGATGTGCCTGTGTCCTTCGGTTAAGTGAAATTGTTCTAGCTGTGGTCCACAATCGCCGGAGCAGAAAACGAGTGACGCGGGATCGATACTTCAGGCAAAGTCCACAGTAACATGATGCTTCTGAACTGTTGAGAACACCATTGTGTGAAGGCGATATAGAGGAAGTGGAAAGTAAATAGATAATATTTTTCTAAAATGTTGCTTCTTTAAACTGTACACGCTCTTAAATAGACCTTACTTGCTTTGTGTATGCTTCATTTAAATGTTTTTACGTGCAACATTTATAAGTTGCCAAAAATGAAATAAACTTTAAAAATGTCATTGTGCTGGTCAGGTGTGTAATAGTATGAATGATATCTCTGAGCTGTTGTGAATATTTTGACGTGGATATCCAGTCTAGCAGCGCAGAGGGCACCTGAATCACTGAACCACGGTGATCTATGAAGACCACTGACAGATCACAGACTTGTTGAATACTGTTTTGTATTTAATAGTCTGGCATTATAGGTAATAGAATTTTGATTAGTTCTATGATGGTAAAGGTCCTTGTTTAAGACTAAAAGAATGAATAAGAGCTAACATCCTGCTTACATGAATACAAGGGGAAACTCATAATTCGATCTTTTCCAAAACATGCAGTAAGTGAGGTTTCCTCAATGAATTCCAAGTTTATTTATATTATAACATGAAAATCTATTAAATTAAGTATTATAAATTAAGTATTATATTACGTTTTTAAAGTATTTACTAAGTTTTTTACTAAGTCTAAAATTCAACAACACTATGTTACACCCTTGTAAAGGTGATCCCACCTGTGACTCCTATCTTTGTTTTTATAATTACACTAAAATCATAAACATGTCTTTATTTGAAATAAAAAATAAGCATTACCTGAAAGAAAAAAAAAATGAAATCTAATTATACACACATACAGTATATATATATATAAATGCTGTCAAACGATTAATCGCATCCAAAAAAGTCTTTGTTTACATAATATATGTGTGTGTACTGTGTATATTTATTATGTATATATAAACACACACACATGCATGTATATATTTAAAAAAATATGTTCCGTATATATATATTAAATATATTTATATATGATGTAATTTATATAAATATATAAATATATACATGAAAATACATGTAAATATTTTCAAAATATATGCTGTATGTGTGTGTCTTTATATATACATAATAAATATACACAGTACACACACATATATTATGTAAACAAAAACTTTTATTTTGGATGCGATTAATCACGATTAATCGTTTGACAGCACT